AGTTGCTTGATACGATGTGACACTGTCTTCTGTTGCGTTTTTGCCGATGACCAAAAGCTTGCCAGTTCATCGATGCAAGAAAGGGAGGTGCTCAGTGTCTCAATCAACTTTGGCAGAGTCGAGAAGAGACCCGCAGAGGTAAGGACATCGACAGAAAGCATGAGCGCATAACCAGGAAACGGTGTTGAGAACAAAAACTCGGATGCTGCGGCCGCTGGAAGACGCTGCTGACGATTGACCTTGGCTATTGAGTGCATCATGGAGAGGAAATTGGAGGCCATAAAGAAGGCCTGCTTGAGGTTCCGGCATATTTTGTCTGCTGGCAATGCATTGATGCGGACGTGCCGGTTCAATCGAATCGTTGTTGCACAATAAAGAGCATGTATCGATACGAAGGTACCTGCATATCCTTCAATGATACTTGTATCGAGATTTTGCATAGTATAACGCAGGTGTTCGGGAAGCATGGCATGCCAGGCATCCAGTTTCTCGTAAGTCTTTGCGTAGAAGGTTTCGTAATGCCGTTCATATCCAGTGTCGGGTCGCCGAGCAGCTCGACCAGTGAAGGTCAGTACCTCTCCCCACAGCGTTGAGATCAGACACAAGTGTGCCATAGGACCCAAGATGGTGATAGGTGCCCCTCTTCCACTGAGAAGCTCCTCGCTAAAGAATGGCGCGTCGGATGGAGTCGACGACTCGTACATCCTGTCCAAACATGGGAGCCGAACAAAGGCGTCTTCCATACTGAAAACGAACAAAGTCCCCCCAAAAAAGCCGTTGTATCGCTGTGGGGATGTCAAGTCAACGGGTGCCGGGTCCTTGATGATGTCGTAACTTACATCCATCAGTAATCCAGACCAGAAGGTACGTCGGCAGCATTCTTCAAAGGTCTGGCGATCGAAACCGTAGTCAAGGTTGGCATTACTGTCCGCGAGATCTTTGATGCCATCTTCTGTGTTGAGCTTCAGTGCGCTGATGGCTCGTAGGCCAGCTCCGCAGTAGTCCCATGCCTCTTGTGACTTGCCTTTGGCGAAAAAATACAACGCAAGCATCAACCGCGTCTGGCATAGCTGTAGACTGAATTTCCCGAAGCGTTTTTCAGCCGCATACGAAGCAACAGAAACAAATCTCTTGCCTAGCGATCTTCTCTCTGGATCCACTGCAAAAGCGGATCCCATTGCCAGGATCGAGTAGAGGAGCATCAAGTGGTCTTGACTCTTATCGCGGCTTGTCTCCACCCATGTAAGGAATGCCCGACGCGGAAACATGCTGTATGTTGCGCGGCCAGCATGGCGAAAATAGAGCTCCAGCAAATCCATCGTGAGCCTGGGATCAGTTTCAAAAGGATCCTGTTCCCATTGAAGTGCAAGGGGATCAGAGTACGAGCCGCGTCCAAAGTCCTCCATGGCATGTTCGTTTGCAGAGCCACTCCAATCTGAGTCGTACGAATGTACCGACATGTCTCTCTTGTTCCCAATGGCAGTTGATCGAATTTTCCGTGGCCGGTAAGGAGTACTAATGTTCCAAGGATCAACGGCGGACTTGGTTGGTTCTCGTGGTTCTCCAATCGCTCTGGCTCTTTCGGTAGCCACTGAAGGACTAAGCACTTCAGATGATGGGTGCTTATATAGCGGAGCGGAACCTGAGGGAGACGTCTCGCCGGATACATTGTTCTGGTTAATTCCACTGCCGAGGGTCAACATTTGTCAACAAGTGATACACGCTTTAATGCTTCGGCACCCAAATTAATGCGTGGTCTCGCTCCACAATAAAAAGACATGATATAGTCTAAACGGAAAAAAGGCCACTTACCCTCGACACACTCTTTGCGACTTTGCGCATTGGTGGCATTTGGGATATCCCGGCTCACACTTGATCTTCTTCTCGCGACACGTCAAGCAGGCCTGTGCAAGGCGTTTTCGAGGTTTGCCTGCTTTGGTGATACCCCACGAGGGGTTGACTGCCTCACCATCTATAATGGCACGGCAATAGGTGCCATCTTCATAGACGTAACAAAGACCTTCGCCCGGGATGTCACGCTGGCCAACACATCGGGAAGATTGTATCGGTGTTCTTGAGGAGCCGTCTAGTCGTCGCATTCTCACAGGCCTGCTCGGATCGAATCCTAGTTCCTGTTGGCCCATGATTGAGCCGGCAGAATCAGACGCCAGTGAAGGCTGCCGGTGCCCGTTGCCAGGCAAGTCATGCTGCGAAGGATGTACAAAACTTTCGCGGCGTTGGAGCTCTAGTCGACCAATACCGAATCCGGAGCTGGATGTTGACGAGGCAGTAGACGGAGTAGCGGTTGTGGCCGGAAGCGACTGGCGATGGTGATAGAGCGACTGTGAGCCCACGGCATTGTGCTCTGGGTAACCATGGAAGTGGCTATCGTGTTCGTGTCGCCGTTTCAACGTCGGACTGGAAGATCCGTAACGTCCACCCTGCGTATATGGGTGCTGAGTGCCAGACGCACTCAATGGTGGTGGATCGGAGGACTTCTTGTCGAGTAGCTCTGGCTCCAAGAGCGTACGGAGACTCGGCAGTTGCTGGGCATTGCTCTGGTTGCCACTGGAATCGACAGGACGAACTTGGTGGCCTGGTGCAATAATTTCTGGTCGAGAGGCTGAAGCATGGTGTGGCGGGTAGGAACCGTAGGACGGTGGAGGACCTGAGTGTGAGGGTATACGAGCCGGACGACTCATGTTGAGGAGCATAGTAGGTGATGGAGATTGTGATGTTCGGCGATTGAAACGGGATAACCTCCACGGTGCACCCTCTCAGTCGGCCACATGAAGGTTTCTGGGACAGCAGGAGCTTGGAACCACCTGAACCCTCGAAAGACAAAGGCAATGCCTGAGCTGTGACACTGATGCAAATAGGGCATCAGCTAATGATCGTCTGGTCGTGCGTACAAGGGTATGGGAGGGGGCGAAATGGGAAAGGCTGCCAACGAACAAGAGTGTGATTGCGCGTGGGCTAGCCTGCACCGGAATATTTGCTGCGGGCTATTGCAGTCTGGAAGAAATATGCCAAAAGAACCAACAGTCCGTGCAGGGTTGACGCCTGGAGATGAAGCACAGCTCTCTCCGGCTTCTTATGAATTACAACCGAAACATAAAGGCAGCCAGTGCATGGGAGAAAGGGTATGTAGGTAGGGGCAAGACGGGACGAACTTACAGCCGCAGGGTTTATGACATGCGGCGCAGGCACCTTGTGAGCGCAATCGACACCGAGCACGCAGCGGACAATGCTTGGACTGCCTGGTCGCGAAGGCAAAGGACAATAGCAATAAATACGATAATACCGGGTAACAGAGGTGGAGGTGGGCGGACGACAGCGGGACCTGTGCTCGGCCAGTCAAGAGCTTACCAGGACGCCCTTGTAAGAAGAGGTTCCGAAGGGAAGCGACCGCGGCTTCAAAATAGGCCAGCTATCATGCCAGTGGCGTGCAGTGACGGACCGCCAGGGACATGGTCGTGGAGCTCTTCGCTGTTTGAGACCCGAAGATGCTAGGACAAACCGGGGTAGTGGACAAGCCAGCCGGAATATTGGCTGCAGCTATCGAGTCGATACCGTCTGGGGACAGGGTAGCGTGGTAAGAGCGATGCAGACGGATGCACGTTACTGCAGTTATGGATGGCGCGTGGGCGATGTGAGCCCCAGATCGTACCAACACGGCACTGGCCAACCGCAGCTACCGCTAATGACCTGTGCAGATCATGCAGCATGGGAACGGAATGCAGTGAACATGTCCTTGCTATTCTGCCGCCAAAGTTTGGGACCTGGCGTTAGGTTCTGGAGCGGTTCTGTCCAATGAGGGCTGCGTGGGTTGGGGCCAAGGACCAGATGTAGCGAAGGAGCGCAGCCATGGGAAAGGATGAGATGCACTGGCTGCAGAAGAGGAGGACAAGGCAAAGGCGGACGGGCGGCCGTCAAGAACAAGGGCAAACAAGAGGGCCCAGCGGGTGTCGGCCGTCGGCCCTGTATTGCCAGCAGCCCCGAGCCATGGGCGTGCAAACTTGAAGAAGCTGGCGTGCCTTGGGTGCTGTCAGCTGGGGAGGAGACGTCGGTGGCCGTGCTAAAGCGGCGGCTGAGGCCAATCGGAATGGCCTCACAGCAGCCGTTGAGCGGCCGATGGAGCCCATCTCGATTGTTGCGCATCCCGGATCCCCCCTAACGCCTCTGGCTTTGCTTGCATGAAGCCATCTTGACCCGCGCCGAACGGCTCGACGTCTTTGGCTCCGTTTCGTCTAAGCCGGCTTTTGCTGGGGCGCTGGGCGCTGGGCGGCGTAGATAATTCACAGCAAGCCCCGGAGGAAGCCCTTGATGGCTTGACACATGGTAGCATGCTGTCACAGAGTACCGCTCCGTCAATGAGCGTGCGTAAGTACCTACGCCGTGCAGGTGGGTGAGGCTGCTGTAATGTCGATCTAGGGACGGGTGTCGTGGCCCACTCGGCCTGTGATGACGCCTACATGCTGAGGACCAAGTACAAGACTCTCGCGCGCTCGCACCGTGGATTTGGAGACAACAGACCGACACCGAGAAAGCCAGGTACAGGCGGATCGCCGTTGAGTGTGGCCCGAAGCGAGACGGCTTGCGAGGCGGCTTGCGAGTCATTGGCGATGCTGGGGTAGCAGCAGTAGTAGGAGTGGCTGTACATATACGGTACGTACAGACAGCATAATGCTCTGCTCTGGGAATAGGACGTCCGCTTAGTACGTGCATCCACATGAGCGTCGCCGGGAGTGAGTGCCCCGGTCACATGGCCGCTAGCGGCTTGCTTACGCAACTAGCGAGTGCATGCCAAGCTAGCCTCGAATCTCTGCAGCCGCGACCCGGTGTGGCATGCGCAACAACACCAACACCATCACCATCACCCCAACCCCCGTCGTCGCCTTCCTGTTCGCATCTTCGCCGCCACAGCGTGCATGAAGCATACATAAATCCTGACGTAGCAAATTATCTCATCGCGCCCGAGCGCACAGTGAACAATTGCCATGGCCCCTGAGCACGGCGACAAGGACGAGGCGCCCAAGTCTCCGCCAGCTGCTGCTGCTGCTACCACGTCGCCCCGTGACGGCCGCTCCAGTACCCCAGAGGCTGCCAACGTGGTCGCATCCAACCGCGACGGAAGCTACGCGCCCGCTGCTGAGGCTCCGCTTCCCTATGACGACAGCGCGCCTCCGCTCCCAGACGAGCCCGTTCCTGATGCCGAAGACGATGGCTGGGAGAGCAAGTGGGACTACAACGCTGGCGCTTGGTACTTTTATAATCGCAAGACGGGTGTCTCGCAGTGGGAGAACCCCCGCGTACCAGAGGCTACCACGTATACATATGGCTCGTACGACAGGTTTGCTAACTATCATCGTCTTCGTTTGTCTTTCCTAGCCTAATACGTGAACTCGACAGAAACCATGCCAGCAGCTCATCCGCCATAGCCTCAACCGCTGGCGCGCCTGGAACTAGTTCTCCCCGGCGCAAGTGGGGTGGATACAATCCCGCAATCCATGGCAGCTACGATCCTAACGCAGACTACGCCAGGGAGGCCACCAAGGAAGAGGAAGAAGCAGAGGCAGCGGCGGCAGCTGCCGCCCTCAACGCACCATACGGCGCGGGACGTGACTACTCCGCTACTGCTCAATTTAACCGCTTCACTGGCAAGTTCCAACAAGCTGGCCAAGGACCGGA